ATTACCGCAAAAAAAAAAAAAAAGTGTCTTAATTCGTGTGTGTGTGTGTGTGTGTGACAGGTTCCGTTTCAGTGGCCGTATCCTCGGCCTGGCTTTGATTCACCAGTACCTTTTGGATGCTTTCTTCACGAGACCCTTCTACAAGGCCCTGCTCAGACTGTGAGTATACATGGATACACACACACACATAAAAATGCACAAATACACACTCAAACATGCCTGAACATTCAAACACAGACGCACACAAAAAAAAATATATAATATACAAATACTACGATTGGGCGATGAATTTCGAGTTTGATTAAGATTTTGGCTTAAAATTAAAAATCGAACAATTATTGTGCCATTTGTACCATCTGTTTATATTCATTATATTTGTATATATTGTAGCGGAGCTGTGAAATTGTTGTTTTCATGAGAAAGCGGTTTATTTCTATTGTCTATAGACTCTGTAAATTGCTAAAACGAAAACGAAAAAGAGTCATTATAGGAACAATATTGGCAAAAACACACAACACCGCTCCATATCCCTCAAAAACTTACAATATTATTTATGTTGTATATATATATATTTTTTTTTTTTGTCACTTTAACGTTCAAGAAGGTTTGAGTTCAATATCTGACAAACGAAATTATCGGCCATCCTATATTATCGTCCCGATATTAGCCCAATTATGTAATATCTGAAAAAATCGTTATTGGTTTTTCCCATGATAATGAAAACCTGATAACGCAATGCCTGGGTTTTGCCAGATGATGGCGTATATAAACATGAAAATGAATAATTGTCACTGATGCACTGCACACAATGTATCCTCAATGGGGACTTGCTTTATGTCCCCATGTGGACACAGTAAGGCTGTATCAGGAACACATACAAAAACTACACAAAACTAACTTCTCGTACTGTAATACACCTCTGCAGACCCACAGATCTTTCTGACCTGGAGTATCTGGACGAGGAGTTCCACCAGTCCCTGCAGTGGATGAAGGACAATGACATCACAGACATTTTGGACCTCACCTTCACCGTTAACGAGGAAGTCTTTGGCCAAGTGAGTCTTTGTTTTTTGTTTTTTTAGGGTCGTCACCTTTTTACAGACACACTTGCCGACGGTCCCCCTTCAACCCACTGTTGTTACAGGTGACAGAGAGGGAGTTGAAGTCCGGAGGCTCCAATCTTCAGGTGACCGAGAAGAACAAGAAGGATTATATTGAACGCATGGCCAAGTGGAGGGTGGAGAGGGGAGTGGTGCAGCAGACGGAGGCGCTGGTCAGAGGCTTTTATGAGGTAAACACAACGCCCACCACCACCCCCAATAAAAAAAAAAGTGCGTGCCTCACTTTCACATTTTTCAGGGTAACTTAACTACATACAGGCTTGTAAAATTTAACCGATCCATTCATGTCATGTGACCACCGACCAGAATAGAATAGAATAGAATAAAATAGCCTTTATTGTCCTTGTACAGTGTACAACGAGATTTGAGCGCTACTTCACTTGATGCAAAACAAAGAGTAGAAGAAAAACGCTCTACAATATATCAAGAACAATATATCAAATATAACAATATATCAAACAATATATCAAATATATATATAAAAAAACAATATATATAAAACATATAACAAACATATCTTTAATTGTGTGGACTATTTTAACTGGTTTTGTTACTTTTGTTCACTGCTGAGATAGCTTCCGGGAAGAAGCTATCTCTGAGTCTGTTTGTCCTGGTTTTGTGTGACCTGTGCCGTCTGCCTGACGGTAACATGTCGAACAGAGACTTACTGGGGTGGGACGGGTCTTTGATGATGTTGCTAGCTCTGCTGCGGTAGCGAGCGTTGGCGATGTCCTCCAGGCTGGGCAAGAGAGCAGCCAGTGATCTTCTGGGCTGTGTTGATGACTCTCTGCAGAGCTTTCCTGTCTGCAGCTGAGCACCCTGCGTACCATGCTGTGACGCGGTACGTCAGGATGCTCTCTATGGCGGCCCTGTAGAAGGGCACCAGTAGCCTCTCCTCCAAGTTGTTTCTTCTGAGCACCCTCAGGAAGTGGAGACGCTGCTGAGCCTTCTTCACCACCGCTGTGGTGTTTGCAGACCAGGAGAGATCGTTGGAGACGATCTCTCCTGGTCTGCAAACACCAGAAAAACTGGAGAGAAGAGAGCAATGATTCCATGTGATCAAGTCTACTAGTCATTGTCGTTGTCCCTTAATGCTAGCAATTAAACAATCTAATATCGATATTGGAATCGGCAACGAAGAAAATGACCAAGAGTAATCGGTAATGTATCGAATCAAACCAAAAAGTGACGGAATCGTCCATCACTACTTCACACACACACACACCTTACAATCGGTCGTCTTTTGTCTCTCTCTCTGTCTCAGGTTGTTGACTCCAGGCTGGTGTCTGTCTTCGATGCTCGGGAGCTGGAGTTGGTGATTGCTGGCACAGTTGAGATTGATCTCGGTGACTGGAGGAGCAACACGGAATACAGAGGAGGTGTGTGTGTATACACATATGAAAGCACATGGGTTTGTCCGTGTTAAACCCCCTGACATAAATTACCCACTGGTTTCCACTCGCCAGGTTATCATGACGGCCACATCGTAATGCGTTGGTTTTGGGCAGCCGTGGAACGATTCAACAACGAGCAGCGTTTGCGCCTGCTCCAGTTTGTCACGGGAACGTCCAGTGTTCCCTACGAAGGCTTCGCCGCTCTGCGGGGTTCCAACGGCCTGCGGCGCTTCTGCATCGAGAAGTGGGGCAAGGTCACATCGCTACCCAGGTATGACATTGTCTTTATGTACAGATAAATGCCGTTTGCTTTATATTTGAAATCGGTTGAAATTGTGTCCAATTTTATTTTAGTTTTTATATTTAAATGATTTATTTAATATAATTAAATAAGACAAAATCGCATATCAGACAATCTTCATATTTAATGAAATATCATTTTCACAAAACATATCATGAACACGTGAAATATCATTTTCACAAAACATATCAGTGAAAAATAAAAGTGTTTGTCCATTATTTTACTTTCACAATCCATCAAGCTGGCCGATTTGAATCAACCAATGGGCCGGGTTTGGCCCACGGGCTATATGTTTGACACCCCTGATTTAGGGTGTCCAAATAACCTAATCCCGTTTTAGGACGTTAACAATCACACAGCGTATGTTTGTTCGGTGGCAAAAACTTGCTTTCAATTTAGACCAGGTGTCCACACTTTTTTGGCTTGGGAGCTACTATTCAAATGACCAGGCTAAAGTGATCTACCTACAATGAAAACATTAAAACTTGTTACTAATACAAACTGAACATGCTTTATATATAATAATTATAATAATATAATATAATAATAATTATATATTGGCGTACAGATTAAACGCACGTAGTTGTATGGTAACAGTATAATTCAATTTCCTCCAATATATGTTGACAACTACCGACTACATTATATTTTAATCATCCTTGTTTTACTTGCTCGTGATCTACTAGCACTCACTTTGCGATTGAGATCGCGATCTACTTATTGGACACCCCTGATTTCGCGTGTCAAATGAACCTCAATTCTCACTTTGCATGAAAATACTGCATTTTAGTTGCTCACCCATTGAACATGGCTTATTTTAGTAACCCTGGTCATCCTTTGTATAACGCACTGATGTCTTTTAAGTGTTGACACTCAAAAGTTCTCTGCACCCTCCCCCTTCCTTCTGTCGTCCCCGCTCTCAGGGCCCATACCTGCTTTAACCGCCTCGACTTGCCTCCTTACCCTTCATACACCATGCTGTATGAGAAACTGCTCATTGCTGTGGAGGAAACCAGCACATTTGGACTGGAGTGAGAGGCACGCTCCGCCTCTCTCCCCCTGGGGAACGCTGGCTGGATTAAAATAGATGAGCTAATTACACCGTAGAGTTGGCTGGATCGTACCAGACAATGGTTTTAGGTCACGGATGTTTCTATGTCAATGTCACGGCGGTGTGCGGTGAAGTCACTCACTTGGTCTCTTGACAGCGAAGCGCACCACGGTCCCACTGAAAATGTTTTGTTTTCGCCGTTTGGACTGAATGACGTGACGAGTGTCCTTCAGAAAATGAAATGTATTTATTAGTAAACAGAGCAGGCATTAACACACCTTTATAAAAAAATATATTGCAACAGATTTAAACAGATATAAGAAATTAATATATGAAACAATATAACAACCCCCCACAAGAGAAACACAAGAGAAACTTTTAATACAAACCTGCATGATTAACATGCAGGTTTGACACCCTGTGAGTTTCTTTGTTAATTTAACCTTTATTGATATGTGCCATGGCTGTACATATGAACTCTCAGGTATTTGGCTCTGATATAAATCATTGTTTATTTATACATACATATACATGACCTAGAAATGTTGGCTTCAAGGAGTGTTAAAAGATATGATTCAGACGTTAACAGTTGGAACTAGTGATGGGCAATACATTTGACATGATTCGATACCGATTACTTTTTTGGCGTTTCTTTTCAATACCGATATCGATACTTTGTCTGGGTTTTTTTTTTCTTCAACTTCAATATGTATTTTTTATAACAAATTAGTCAAGAAATTTCATTAATTTTACAAAATGTAACCTTGCTACCATTAAGGGACAAAGATGCCCTTATCCGAAAATCATGATAAAATTTTAATACCTGTTGATCAACTTCAGTCCTGATCAGAAAGGCTAGTAATTAATTAGTATCGGAAATTGAGAGTAATCGATACTCAATCGATACTCGTATGAGTATCGATAACTCTCATAAAATCTACACTCCCATCACTAGTTGGAACAATCATACCCAACAGTTTCTCTCTCCTGGATTCACCACAGATCTTAAGATGTCAAATAGGTTCAAATGTTACTTTATCTGGATTCACAAGACAAGGTTCCACCTGAGATAAAGGAACATTTAGTCGACAGTCGGTGGATGAACTCGCAACTACTCTACATGGATTTTTCGCCACATCCAAAGGACCTGCACGTGCACTTCTTTGACGAGACAAACGAAAAAAATTATGCAACCGTTTCCACCCTCAACTGTGCATTTAGCCGTTTGCACTGTATAGTAGTGTTATATACAGTGAGTGGTGAGAATCGGAATAGAGAAAATAATACATAAACAAAGTACTGGAAAGACCTGACAGTAGGGATGTCCGATAATATCGATATTTTTGGCCTCATATTAGCATAATTACGTAATATCTGTGAGAATCATTATCGGTTTTTTTTCCTCCGATAATGAAAACCTGATAACGATATACCTGGGTTCGCCAAATGTTGTGTGCCCTAAAAATGGTTTTGGGGAAAAACGGCTGTATATGAAAGTGAAAGTCAGTAGATGGCAGCATTGCAGCGAAATGTTGGTGCCAGCAACACATACAGTGGTTTGTACAGATAAATAAATAAATATTACCAGGGTGGGGGGAAATTGAGAGAGACGCTGCTTTAACCCATCACTTTAGTGAGCAATTCTTAAATTCCTTAACCACCAGGCCACCGACGTCCTGCTATATCGTTATCAGTTAAGATCGCAATAAGAAATGACGTGTTTGGACAATATCGGCATATTGGATATCGGCAAATAGTTAATATCGGACATCCCTACTTGACAGCAGAAGGTAATGGTCAGGTTCAGGGTCGGGAGACGCGCTTTCACCGGCTGTGTCTCTGCTCTATCTATAACCTATTGTAGGATGAAGGTGATTCAAAATCAGAAGAGATTTAAAAAAAAAAAACCTGTGGTGAGAATCATAATGACGGACAAACCAAAGTTAAAGACATAAAAGAGTCCTTCAACATTTGTCAAGTAGATGAAGGAGTATCTGATTATATATAGACTTGGCTGCTACTGTAGTTCCCCCATCCAGATACTGAAGTACCAACGTGAATTCATCAGGAGAGCCCATGTTTGGACTCCAAAAGGACAGCAATATTATCGACTAACATTTTACGTCATGTCCACAAGATGTTCCTTGTATCATGTCATGTTCCCTTTGTCCAAGTAGCCAAAACAAGGGCTTCTGGGATTGCTCATACGGAGACTGCAAGTTCCGTTTTATGGCTGTGACTTTGTCTGGATTCTACACGACTGGTGGTGCTAAAATGTTCACCTCTGGTCCTGCTTGATTAAATTGGAGCTTCTTCTTCACATATTCCAGTCTTCCACTGATCATCACGTCCGTCTTTGTCTGACTTGAGGATGCTCAGCACAAGGAGCTGGTACTAACATTTGTCTGACTTGAGGATGCTCAGCACAAAGAGCTGGTACTTTAACATCTCCCGTCACTAGCAGACAAGGTTCTCCAGGGCTTCATCAGTTCCACCAGCTACAGCAGGTGTAGTGGTGTACTGTACTGTACCGATATGGACAGCAGCCCTCGGCCCCACCCAGTGTTACATATGCAACTGGACGTACTGTATGTCTACACTCGTCTTCTGACAGACAGCCACTGACTGCAATGCTGCCTCTGCTCTTCCAGACCAAACTTTGTCTAGGTCTTGTTGACCTGCAATGAAGTCACATCCGGTTACTTACTGCCTCGTGTTTGGTTGAAGTTTCAGTGCTTCATACTGGAGCTTCGTACAAAAAAAAAAAAAAGGGTACGTGTATTTTAAGAGTTTACGTTTCTTCTTTTTGGAACACTTTTCACCTTGGACTCCTGTTATGTTTCAAACACAACTGCACTTCTCATGATAAGTCTTGTTAGTGGATATAGACATGACACATTAACACGGTGCTTTTCAACCTTGGGGTCGCGGCCCCGTGTGGGGTCACGTGGAATTCAAATGGGGTCACCTGAAATGTCTTAATAATTGATTCAAAAAATTAGTGATAGAAATCTTTTTTCAACTTTTTTTTTATTATGATTAAAAAACACAAATCTTAAACTGATAAATAAAGATGTTCCTGGGGTCCCCAGAAATTTGTGACGTCAAGGTTGGGAACCACTGCATTAAACACCGAGTTAAACCAATCACATTATGCTTGTTGCTAATATTCTCTTTGAAACAAACTGCTAATCTTTGTGACCATTACGTTGGTTGTGAGGTTAAAGGGAAACTCCTCTGTTTTTCACCTGAAATTGGACCAGTACAAGAACAGTTGGTCTAGTTAAGGGGTCTGCAATGTTTTTAGCCCATTCAGGCTGAACTTTGCAATGCAAGGAGGACACGTGTCCTAGGAACCACAGGTTGCAGACCTCTGGTTTAGGTGCTCATCTCGGTATCATTAGAATAAATACATTTTGAGGCCATTTCTTGAATACCTACATGTTATTTTAGTGGAGTCATGCGGTGAGAGAGTACAGCAGTAGCAGTGCATAAGTGGTGTCACTTTGTCCTACCCTCCCTCAACTCCCCTTTTTTTTTTCTCACATTCTTTCAATCAGCCCTGTGATTTGTCAAATCTTCCAATAGGGACTGGATTTCCGCCAGGCGACAGAGCTAAATCCATTTAAAGAACACTTGCTCTTTATTGCATTATCGCTTAATGTTTGTCGAATGTGTTTGTACCATGGACTGGTCGGCCGGTATCAGCCATTACTCCGGATCAGTAATACTGCGCCATCATTGAAGGATGATTACATTTTCAAAATCTAACATCTTTTAGACTTTATTCTGTTAGTATCAGAGTCTGAATGACCTGTTGTTCTGAAACATTATCTTTGAATGCAAAAACTAAAGGGATATGAATGGATTATTTTTGATGGAAGTAAATTAGTAAAACTGAAGTACAACTTTTCACTGTGTCCCACTCTGGCTTGGTACCAAATGGCAATTCAACACTTATTAGAGTATAGAATGTATATACACAAATGAAAGTAATTACAGTACATTTGGCAATTATTGATCCAAACAACCCTCACTCCGTGAGACATCCACATAACTGAATGTTGAATTGCTAGGTCGAATTAATATAAAATCAGAGGTAAGAACGATGGCAAAACATGCTATGTCTTTACACTTTTTTAATTATTATTATTTTGTTTCTGACTAACCCTAACCCTGGTTGAAAAAGGAAGAAGAAGAAGAACTAACAATTTTTAACCACGGTGCCATCTAGTGGATGTGTTCAGAATAATATATCTCAACCTAGTTGTACGTTTGTTGGACGCATTATTACACATTGGTGACTTTAAATGTGCTGATTCCTGTAACATGCAGTCAAGAGGGTAAGGCCTTGTTTTTTACCGGGGGTCCTCAACTTACATCAGGGTTTTGGTTCCCAGCGTTCCTAGAGTTTTCTCTGTAAGTCTAAACTAGCGTACAATTACATATTACGATATTGCATATTGCAAAATAATGTATCAAAACTGAACCATTTGGCCGGGACATGGAATTCATCACTGCTAACAGCATTGAAGACCACATGGAAAGTGGGCTGTTGAATTTTTTGTCGTCTACAATTTGGTCTGACAAAATCACGCTCATGAGTCATAATGGTTCCTAAAAAATGGAAAATGTAAAAAGAGTGGTCTTTCTTGTCGGAATGAGTGAACAAGTCTTTGTTAATAAGATTATATACGGGGTTGTGGCGATGTAACAGTGGTCAAGGACATCGTAAGCTGAGGACCCCCTGTATATACATGCCGTTTTTACCCATTAAGGGGCAGAGTCAAGTAAATGTATTTCAGCCTCGCCAATGTTTAGTAATGTAATTATAGGTACAGTATCCTAGTTTAAACAGACACAACAGACCTCATATTATTGCCCGCAATGTATTTAATGTGTTACGTGACAATCAACTCAAGTTTTGAGTTCAAGACGGGCTTAAGCCGAAACAGGTTTGTCCTTCAATTTCAAATTTGAATTTTATTTATTTATTTTTTTGTTTCATGCAAGTACTGACAACATGACAATGATACTTTTTTATTATTCGCTAGCTTTGGTAATTGAAAGATGAAGACGAAGAATGCGGGACTTAGCTTTCTGTCACCTAAGTATAAAAAGAGAGACTAGATGAAGTGACGTAAAGAAAGATTCCGTCACCTGTTACTGCCTTTTACTAATTAGGCAAAGAAACTGTAAAGACAGTGAGGGCAGTGCCCTGGTGGTGAGGCCTTATCATTGCATCTCCAACCCAGAGGATAAGGCTGTGATTTTTTGGCTTTTTTTTTTTTTTTATTTTCTATAATTTTGTACTGGTATTTTTACTGTAGTGTATATAATACAGTAAGGGAGGGTTTGTGCTGAAGTTTACCTTGAGTGTTTCTTTATTCAGTACAGTTTGCCTTTTATTTATATGTATATGTGTTTTTTTATTTAAATTTAAGACTGCTTGTTATATGTAACTAAACTTAGCGCTTAATTTAAGAAATAGTTCTAGTTTTTGTAAGTGTGGATGCATAGGGTGCTGATATAAGCTCATCCTGACCTGGTAACTGAACTGCCACTTTGACAACTTTCTCTTATTCAGTCGGCGGATGCCTCGATACAATTGTTTAACGTCCAATACCAATACTTCAACGTTTAGTATCTGTCGATACAATTGTTTAACGTCCAATACCAATACTTCGTCGATACCAATATTGATCCAATCCCTTCTTTCTGCTGAGGCTATAGTTGTTTTTTCCGACGTTCGATCCAATATCGGACCGATCCCGATTGTGTCCATATCATGACACAGCTAAAGCAGATTTACCATTTATCAAGCAAGTTGATCAAATGTGCTGATCTGTTATCAGAAGGAGAAAGTATGCTTTCCGATACGGGGTGTCAACAGTACCACGTACAACCATACTTCACAAAAAAGTACTATCCCTTTAAGCTGCCCATTTTTCTTTACAGTAGCTTGCATGCTGTCACTGCTGCATCTGTAATTCTTGAGTTTTCAGTTTTAGGACTCAAGAATTACAAATTGCGAATATTATCTTTGTGCACTAGATTTAAGAGCCAGGTGTAATTTAAAAAAAGAAATCCGTGCTTTGAGCAGTTTTTGACACATGAAATGCTTTATGATGAGTTTTTTTTTTTTTAAAAACTGTAAAATGTAAAGATATTGTACATAAGTCTCTTTTTGGTTTCTACGTTGAAAACATTAAATGTGGACCCTATAATGGAATAACAGTGACACAGACGTATCAGCTGCACTGATTTTCACTTTATGGATAAGAAACATTGAGAAGTGGTGTGATACTGTAGCAGAAGTTTGGATTCCTGTCTTTTTGTAATTTATTTGTGGTTAACTTTAATTTGAAAGAGAAAGGAAGAAAAATCAAGCATGCAAATGTTTGTTTTGTTTTTTGTTTTTTAATTGCGTGTGTATTATACACATATCGTATGTATATAGTGTTGTATTGTACAGCCGTGTGTTGTCTAAGAACGGGTGAATCCAAGCTCAGGCTGTGCTCATGCTCAATGATACCATACAACTGTTTATGAAGCTCAATTAAAAAGTTACATTTGTCATGTGGTTGTCAGTGTGTGGACACATTGCTCTGACTGGTTCCTGAAAGGATGTGAAGAAAATAAGTTTTACATAGTCACTGTTAACAAACTGTAGATATGTATTTTTCTTGAATCAGAAGTTTTGATTTAAGTAAGTCGCAGATACAAGACGAATTGATGGGCCACATTTGGTCCCCGGGCCTTAAGTTTGACACATGTGCTGTACACTATTTGAATTGGCCAGCATCAAAAATGTGAAAAAGTAAAAGACTGATTGTTCAGAAAAGGGAAGAAGATGCTTATCTATCTAATCTATATTTTTAATGAACAAACACAAATGCTGAAGTCAGTTAGTTTTATTTTGGTATGCAGCTTATATTCCCTTGATGAAATGGCCTGGTAAATTCTGCTCTGGTCTGTTGTTTAATGAAAAGTGAGAATATCTTTTTTTTTTTAAATGATTTTATTGTCTAACAACACAGAATGTGCCCTATCGAAAAACATTACATACTGAAATTAATAACAATTTATATTAAATCAACACACATTTTAGTCATATTTCTTTTAATTGTTACAAATAAGTCAACTAAAAGCAATTTTATACGAGTATTCTTACGTCAACAAGTATGGCTTTTATTTATGATCGTTCTACCAACTTTTAAAGGCGAACCCGCCTCAACAGAATTCCGTCTTTCCATTGGCCATTGCATTTGTCAATCAAATTCTGCTGTCATTGTGACTGCAGAGTAGCAGCTCAGTCAGAAGTAGTGATGGGAAGACCGACTCTTTTTATTGATTCGAATCTTTGATTCTCGAACAATAAAATGAACGAGTCGT